CAGGGGCCATCCAGTCCAATCTCCTCATTTTACAGATGGGGAAACTGAGGCCAAGGAAGACATGTCCTCTAATTCCAAATCCATCTCTCTTTTCATTGAATATGGGGAAACACAGTCAAAAGAAGGAAGCCACACTCAAATGCCAGTAATCTTATTTATGAGAGGATTTCTGATTCCCCACTGCACCCTAGCACAACATGTCGTCCCCCCCCAACTCACATCCCTAGGAAGACACAATTATGTTTTCCCTGGGGGCCTGGCATTGGTCTCCCCTGCAGATGACTCCGTTTTCCATAGATAAGCATGGGTTGGGGGTGAATGCATGGGGCATCTGTCCTGGAGTGGGCATCTTTGGAACAAGGAGGTGGTCTCTGATAGGCCCTTCCTAGGGTGGCAGAACTGGGACAGGATGGCCAGATTTGGAGAACAGATAGTGAAGGTGATAAGCTATCTCCAACTTGGTCCAGTGGTTCCCTGGGGTCCAGACCCTGAGCGTGCTTCCAAATATCAGCTCTGGCTGTGAGGAATGGCAGTGTGGGCTGTGGGGGAGGGGAACTGTGCTCAGCCTGCTCTGCCCTTGATGCCTGGGGGACTCTGTTCTTCCCAATAAGCTGGGACAGGGCTGAGGTGGGCCCTGGCCTCCATGCCAAAGAGACATTCACTACTTCCAAACCGGTCCTGCTATCTTAGCTGGCATCGGCTGGCTCAATTAATGAATTTTCCCGTAGTTGGGGATGGGGATCCCCCAAAATTCTTAGCCTTCCCCCATATTGGTGTGGGTAATGAAGGTGCCCAGACCACCAGATTATGGCCTTTGCCTGGTTACCAGAGGCAGCTAGACCACAGACCTAGGTGTGGTTTTGGGAGAGTTAACTCTGTCTACTCCCCAGCCTGAGTGGAAAGGGCCCTGGGTTCACAGATCCCAGCTCTAGAGCTAGAAAGAACCTCAGAGGCCATCCCCTTCATTTTACAGATGAGGAAACTGAGGCCCAGAAAATGGCTTTCCTGAAATGACAAAGGGAATGTGGCAAAGGCGGGACTTGAACCTAGGCCTTCTCACTCCAATCCAGTGTTATCTCCACCATATCCCAATGGAATTGGGAGATTATCGAGCGGGCAGGACCTCAGAAATCATAATAGAAGTCATAAGGCCTCCTTTTATGGACCGTGTGGCAGATATCAAGAGAGGAAATGACATTTGTCCAAAGTCACGCCTGGCTTCTAACCTAGATCCTCCGAATTCAGACCTTGTTCTCACATGAGACTAGGTTGGGTTCAGGTCATTGCTCCACTATTAATTTTCTGTGCGACTTTAGTCCCCTCATCTGCCAAATGGGGATAATCAGAAAGGACTTCACTGCTGGCTCGGCAACCAGGGTGACCCTGGGAAATTTGTGTCCACTCTCTGAGTCTCAGTTTTCTTCTTTGTAAAATGGGACAATACCCTACCTCACAGTGCTACTGGGAGGCTCCCATGAGGAAATGGATGGGAAGCCCCTTTGAACTCTAATCTGCCACCTCTGCTGCTGTTGTCTTCAGTAGATCAGCCTTGATTAAAGGGCTTACTCTGTGTCAGGTAATGCATTATTATCATATTATTACAGGCCTGCCCTGCCTACCTCACAAGAGAGTCAGGAGGCTATGAGGAGATAGCAGATAGGAAAGACCTTTGAAAAGTTAAAGTCTAAGGGGCTCTCGTTTATGGGGTGGGGGTAGATTTTCCTCTACTTGTTAGGAAGTCTTCGGGATTTCGGTTAGGCAATCTCCAGCACAGAGGCAGTGTGGGGTAATGGGTAGAATCCTAGGACTAGGAGTTAGGACGGGGGCAACTTCTAACTTAGGGACTTGCTAGCTATGCGACAAGTCACATAACCGCCCACAGCCTCAGTTTCCTCATCCGTAAAATGAAGATAATAATAACACCTACCTTCCCAGAGCTGCTGTGAGGATTGAATGAGGTCGGGCATCTGGAGTTGCACAAAATTGAAGTCAGGACATCACAGAGCTGGAAGGTGCTCCAGAGGCCATCTGGACCACCCCTCTCATTTGGAGAAACTGAGGCCCGGGGAGGGGAAAGAACTTGTGCAAAGTCACATAAAGGATCTTAGACCTAGAAGTGGAAGGAATCTCAGAGGCCATTTAGTCTAGCTGCCCTCGTTTTACAGAAGAAGGAACTGAGCCCCATAAGGGGAAGTGACTTATCCAAGGTCATACAGGTAGTAAGCAGAAGCTAGTTCTGAACCAAATTTTTCTTACTCCAGAACTAGTGATCTTTCTCACTGCATGATGTTGCCACCTTAAGGCACTAAAAAAAAATATATATATATATATATGTATATAATACATGCATGCATATGTATATGTGTATACATATGTATGGATGCATATGAATATGGATTGTACATGTGTATATGTGCATATACCTGTGTATATGAATGTGTTTATGTCTATATGTGTGTCTGTGTGCATACACACACTTGTGTGTGCATGTAAATATGGATGTGTGTGCACATGTATGTGTATATGAACATGTATGTGCACGTGTGTATGTGTGTGCTGTGTGTATGTGTGTCTATGTATGTGTGGAGAGGGGGGAGAGAGAGCAGAGACAGAGAGAGACAGAGAGAGGAGAGACAGAGAGAGAGAGAGAGAGACAAAGAGAGAAAGGGGGCCTGGCATTGTATTTGTATGTGTATCTAGAGAGAAGAGCCCAGGGGCCCATAGCCAGCGTGTGTCAGAAACCAGACCCAGGCCAGCTCTCTTTCTCCCTCTCCCCCTCTCCCCTCCCCCCTTTTCTCTCTGTCTCCCCCCTCCCTCTCTCCCCCTTCCCCTCTCTCTTTCTCTGTCTCTCTCTGTCTCCCACCTCTCTCCTCTCTCTCTCTCTCTCTTCCCCTTTCCCCTTCTTCCCCTCCCCCTCCCCTTCTTTCTCTTTCTGTCTTTCTGTCTCTGTCTCCCTCTTCCCTTCCCTCCCTCTCTCTCCCCGCCTCTCCTCCTCTTTCTCTTTCTCTGTCTGTCTCTCTCTCCCTCTCCCCCTCTCTGTCTCTGTCTCTCTCTTTCTCTCTCTCATGCACACATACATGCACACACACACACACACACACACACACACACGTGCGCGCGCGCACACCCTTCTCTCAGGGGCAGTGTGGCTTAGTGGATAAAGTTCTAGCTCTGGAGCCAGGAAGACTTGAGTTCCAGTTTCCCTTTGCACCCATACTGACTGTATGACTCTGGATAAATCACTTATCTTCTCTGCCCTCTAAGACTACCAGCTACACTAGTGGAGGGATTTCTGGTTTGTTAGGTTTTTTGCTGGAAGTTCCTATCCCCATGAAACTACCATATAAATGTCAGCTATCACTGCTACATACCCCTGTGCCCAAGAAGGGGAGTTTCCCTGACAGCCTGAAAACACAGGCAGCTAGGTGTGAGAGGGAAAGAGAAGTGTGTACCTGTTGTCTTCCTGAGACTGCTAGGTGGTCACCACAATCACCACAGCTCACTCCCCCTTCTGTACTCCATGCACCATCCCGTAGTCCCATCCCCCCACCCCCACCTGTGTCATGGGGACGGAGAGCTCATTCCCAAGCTGGAGACTCAAGCTGGGCTTGATCCTAAAGCCTGAGGGCCTTTGAGCCCTCCCAAGGCCCCAGTGGGGCTGATCAAAGGGGTACCAGCAGCCACTCCACTTCCTTGGCTTCTTCATACCCTGAGATAGTGGGCCTGCCTCCTCCACCCATGGAAGGCAGCTGGGCGCCCAAGGCCTAGCCCCCTGCCAGATAGCCAGGCTTGGTAACCATTTAATAACCAAACAAAGAACCATTTAGTCAATTCAAAAGTCTTTATTGAATACTCACTAAGAACCACCACTAGGCTCAGTGCAGTGGGGAAGATGGTGCAGACTAAGGCCTGCCCACAGTGAGCTTACAGTAAAGCTGGGAGGCACAGCTTACAACCAGGGACAGAGAACTAACATCGCAAGACGACTGGGCCAAGGGGCCCAATGGTTGAGACAGAGGAGTCAGCAGGGGGCAAGGTACAGAGGGACAGGGTGCCATGAGCTGGAGTGATTGAGGCCAACGCCTTACAGGAGGGACAGGCAAAAAGTTCTGGGCTAGAGGGCAGGGGAGCCATGTGGGGCAAAGCTGGGCAGGTAGGGCTTGGAAGGATGTGGCACTCAGGCTGGAGCTGGGGACTTCCCACTGGGGACTGAAGGATGGACATGCTCAGGATGGGGAAGGTTCCAACAGGGCCCTCCCTGCTTAGAAGTGGTGGGATGGGGGGGCAGGGTGTGAGGGGCTGAGGATGTTCTCAGTTCTCCCTGTTGTTCTGGACTCCCCCTAGGGGGTCACTACTGGGTCTCCAGGGCTCTTAACAATTCTCTCTTTGAGGCCTATCTGCTTGGGGCTTTTGTTGCCCCATCCCCCCAGAGGGACTGGGAGCTCCCCTGGGGACTGCTCTGGTTTAGTGAGGTGGGCTAAGAAGACAAATCTAAGAGCCTGGGTACAGCCTGCTCCAGAACAGCTCATTCTCTTTCTGGATCCATAACCTGGGTTGAAATCCTTGGAGGGGCTCCATTGAGGGCTTTAAACATACACACACATGCATATGCATACACACACACACGCATGTGCACACGTGCACGCACACACACATTCCTTTTGGCTTGGTATTCTTATTTTTAAAATTTTACTATTTCTCAGGAAGTATAGGAGGATGCCAAGGTTTTTTTCAGCCCCTACACGCTGTTCCCCAAGCCAAAGAGCATCTCTAGAAAAACTGGTTTCCTTTGCTCTCTTTTTCATCTAGGGCTCCTGGCAGTAGGTGCCCTCCGGAGCAAACGCCCAGGCTCCTGGCTTCCACGCTGACTCTAACGGCAGAGAAGACTTCTCAGTGGAATGTGGGGATAGGGAACTCCCAGCCAGAAGCCCCTTGGGAGCTGGGCCCTCCTCCCTCTTTGCTTCTAACAATGGAAACAAAGAAGTGCCCTTTGGGTCTAGCTCTCCACCAGTCTGGTTATGGCCTTGGAAGGAGTTTTGTGGGGAGGGGTGTGAGGTTCAAGTAGTGAGACTTCAGTCCATTGAGCTGAGAAGGCCTTCTGGAGAGGTGGGGAGGCTAGGGAACTGGGTCGGGGCCTGTAGACTGGGGAGAAAAAGGGCAGGGTGGAGATAGGGAGGGGGCTGCTGGCTGAGGAGGGAGGCCTGTGGGAAGGCCTGCAGTGTCAGCTACCCCTGGTCAGACCCAAGGGACCCCCGATGTCCGTCCTTTCTTTAGCATTGCCTTTTGACTTGAACAGATGGAAATGTCTCTCCCCAGTGTCAGCGGAGAGCCACGGGGCTGGCCCTCCCACCATGGCCCACTCCCCCCACCCTGGCAAGCCACTCCTTACACATACCCTGTCAGGCTGTAGGAGTTGAATTCACTTTTGCCCTTTGTGGACTGGCCTGGCCGAGGGGAGGCCCTGGTGGCCAAGGGCTGAGCTTGGTAACCGCCATAGTAGGCAGAGCGGCTGCCCCACCGGGCTGGGCAAGAGAAGCAGAGGATGGTGCCACCCACCATGGAGAAGAGGGAGGAGATGATGCCAAGATAGAGGGCCTCTCCGATCTCGAACTTCATGCTGTCAGGCACAAGTGGTGAGTGGAAGTCACGGAGGATCCCGTGGAGATTCCAGACGACAGGGATGAAACCCAGGAGGCCTCCTAGGAGGAAGAAGATTCCGCCCACCACTGCCACCCTGTCTTTGGCTGGGGAGTCCTTGCAAAAGACAGTGCACCTCATGCCCACCACAGAGATGATGCAGGCCAGAGAGGAGATGGTGCTCGAAGCTACCATCATGCCCTGAGCAGCCTGGATGTCTGCAGGCAGCCCTAGCAGAGTGCTGTAGATATCACACTGAGTGATGCCAGTGCTTTGGGTAGCACACTCCATCCAGAGGCCTTTGGAGAAGCCAACGGCTGTGACGATACTGGCCCCCACATAGGAACCTGTTCTCCAGCTTGGCAGCAGCATGGCTATGAGGGTGCCCACCAGCCCCAGGAAGCCCAGGATGTAACCCAGCAGCTGCAGGCCGAGAGATGCCATGATGGTTGGAGTCTCTCCACTGAGAACACCCCTGTTGCCCTGATGATGGCTCTGCTTCCCTGGGCCTCTGCTTCCTAGCTCCTCATTGCAGAGCGCCTCTGGAAGGCAGGGCTGTCTCTGTTCCCTCCTCAGGAGTGTCTGAGGGTGGCTACAAGCTGGCTAGAGAAGCCACCTAGAAGACAAAAAAAAAAACCCCACATAAACCAGATTAAATATTGACCAGAAGCTTATGAGAAACCAGAAAATGCTGGGTGCTTTTTGACCTTTGTTATCTTTAGAAATAACACACGCAAAAACTTCCCGACTAACTTTGAAAATTGAGCCAAAATGTCATCACCTCCTGTGTAGGCCTAAGCCCCAGGGTGGCAGCCAGACAAAGGAAGGGGGCGGGACAGGCTAGGAGGGGGGAAAGAACAAAGACTCATGGCCCCTGGGGTAGACACTGGCCCAACTTTTTCAGCTTTCCTAGCCAGGAGTCTGACCCCACCTGACCATAGGAGCTGACTTAGGTCAACTGTTATGGGCTGAGGGGTACCCAGAGGAGGAGGGAAGAGTCTGGGAGGTGGTGGCCTCCCTGAGACACCAGAGGCTCAGAGGGCACAAACTGGGACCTGAGTCAGTCACTGTGGGCCCAGAGGCTTTAGTCTGGGTATCAGGAGACAGCTAAGGGGGACACAGTTATCCATACCCTCTACTTAGGTCCTTGGTGTGCCCGGGTTTGTGAATAGTTGACTTTCCTCTTAGACTTCCCAGGTGCCTCAGGGCATAAGTTGGACCAGGCCCTGGGGTTGCCAGACAGGGATAACAGCCTACCATGGTTGGATCCTTGGAGTGTAGGAGAGAGACTCTCCAGGGTTCAAATCCCAACCAACTCCTGTGGAGGGAGGTTCCCAAATAAGTCAATGACAGGCAGGTGCCCTATGCCTGGGCCACTAGACTGGCATGGGCTCTTTGACCACTTCAAGCCCTTCGTTCTACAGATGAGGGAAACTGAGGCTCAGAAAGAAGTTCCTTGTCCAAGTTTTCACAGGTAGGAAGTAGAAAAGCCAGATTCGACCCCAGGTCCTCTGACTCCAATGACGGCTAGCATTCCACTAATGGCGGCCTTGGAAGGAAGGAGAAGGAGGAGGAGGGAGGCTGTCCATGCAGTGGAGAGAATGCTGGCTTTGGATCAGACACCTTGAGGCCAATCCCAGCTCTTCCATTTAGTACTTGTGTGGCCTTGAGAAAGTCACATGCCACCCCATTCTCCCCCCGCCCCCCCGGCCTCAATTTCCTCCTCTGTAAAATGGAAGCGTCATTTGATCTTGATAACCTTGAAGGCACTTATAAGTTTGAGATCTGGGATCCTTTGGTACAGGATGGGGGGGGGGACTATAAGAGAAGGGAAAAACACGGATTCCACCTCTCAAATTAGACCAAAAGCCTTCTGAGGGCAGAAATGTCACCTCTTCTTCATTCTCTACTCCCCTTCAGCAAGCCCTGGGCACATCCATCCTGCCCTCAAAGACAAAACCAGAAACCAAGGGGGTGGGAGGAGGGCCCAGGTGGGATCAGAACAAGCTAGGGGGCGGGAAGAAAGGGCAAGGTTTTCCCCACCTTGGAAAATGATGACTACGACAATGGTGGAGGAACATAGGGGAGACTGGTTCTGCTCGCATCCCCAACTTGCTGCACACTAGTTAAATTTTCTGCTGGAGTAGAGGTTTTCCCCAAGTGTGATAGGGAGCAGAGCATCTGCTGGAGAAGCAGACCCCGACAGGATCTTCTGGAAGCATGCAGAAAGAGAGAGGGGCTAGCCCCGTCCTCTGCCCTGGGCAGACCCCATGCTGGCTTCACATCTGGCTGTCACAGTTCAAGCTACGGAGCATCCAGAGGAAAGAAGCTAGGATAGCTATGTGTAAAACTCCATGAAGATACATTGGAGGAAGGGAGGGTGTCAAGCCCTGAGAAGAGAAACTGGAGGATGGGAGGACACGTGAGCTGCGTTCAAGAATTGGAAAGGCCAGGGGCAGCTAGGTGGTGCAGTGGATAGAACACTGGCCCTGGAGTCAGGAGGACCTGAGTTCAAATCTGGCCTCAGACACATTAACAGTTACTACTAGCTGTGTGACCCTGGGCAAGTCATGTAACCTCATTGCCTAGCCAAAAAAAAAAAGAAAAAGAAGAAACAAGAATTGGAAAGGCCAATGAGCAGGATGGCTTCAGAAAAACCTGGAAAGACTTACATGAACTGATGCAAAGTGAAGCAAGCAGAACCAGGAGACCATTGTACACAGTAACAGCAACATTGCATGATGATCAACTATGATAGATTTAGCTATTGTCATCAAGACAATGATCCGAGACAATTCCAAAGGACTCATGATGATGAAAAATGCTGTCTACCTCCAGAGAGAGAACTGACAGAGCCTGAATGCAGATCGAAGCATACTTTTTTTTTTTACTTTATTTTTTCATGGGTTTTATTTTTGGTCTATTTTCTTTCACAATATGACTAATATAGAAATATGTTCTGCATGATTGCACTTGTATAACTGATATCAAATTGTTTGCCTTCTCAATGAGTGGGAAGGGAGGGAGAGAATTTGGAACTCAAAATTTTTTTAAAAATGAATGTTAAAAATGGTTTTTACATGCAACTGTGAAAAATAAAATATTATCATTATTATTATTATTATTGGCTAGGCAATGGGGTTAAGTGACTTGCCCAGGGTCACACAGCTAGTAAGTGTGAAGTGTCTGAGGTCAGATTTGAACTCAGATCCTCCTGACTCCAGGACTGGTGCTCTATCCACTGCGCCACCTAGCTGCCCCCAAAATAAAATACTATTAAAAAAAAAAAAGAATTGGAAGGGCTGTCATGTGGAAAGATATTAGGTTTGCTCTGTTTGGCCCCAGAGGGCAGAATGAGGAGCCATGAGAGGAAGGCACAAAGAGGCTGATTTTAAGCTTGATGGTAGGAAACAGAACTTCATACTAATTAGAGATGGGATGGGCCGCTTCGGAAGGGAGTGGATTCCACCCCATTGGAAGTCTTCAAGCAAAGGCTGGTTGACTACTGGTTGGGGATGCCTTTAGGAAGGGACAAGGATGAGAGAGGGCAGCATGGTGAAGAAGGCAGTGGATTTATGGGGCAGCTAGGTGGCACAGTGGATAGAGCACTGGCCCTGAAATCAGGAGGATCTGAGTTCAAATCTGGCCTCAGACCAAACACTTGACATTAGCTGTGTGACCCTGGGCAATCAGAGAACCCGGGTTCAAGCCCTCACTCTGTTACTTACTACATGTATGACCTGAGGCTGACCAGAGTGGAATGGGCTACTTTGGGGAGACATGGGTCCCCCTATTTGGAGGTCTTCAAGTATAGGTCAGATGACCACTTGTCAGGTATGTGACAGTGAGGTGGAATCAGACCAGATGGCCACTGAGCTCCCTTCTGACTCTCTGATTCTGTAATTTTCTCTGTTCCCTGTAAAATAAGACTAGATATGACTCTTGAATGTCCCTCGCAAGCCCGCAACCTTATGAAAGAGTGGAAAGGGAGGCAGGCCCTGGCAGGTTTGTGGCAGAATAGAAGGACTTGGGGCAGCTAAATGGCGTAGTGGATAGAGCTCCAGCCTTGGAGTCAGGAGGACCTGAGTTCAAATCTGGCCTCAGACCTGACACTTACTAGCTGTGTGACCTTGGGCAAGTCACCTAACCCCAATTGCCTAAAAACAACAAAATAATAATACACCCCTATGGGGCAGCTAGGTGGCACAGTGAATAGAGAGCTCTGGCCTTGTAGTCAGGAGGACCTGAGTTCAAATCCAGCCTCAGACTCATTATATTCACTAGCTGTGTGACCTTGGGCAAGTCACTTAACCCCGATTGCCTCATCAAAAACCATAAAAAACACAAAAACAAAAAATAAAGAATAGAAGGAGTTTGGGAGGAGTCCACTCTTTTTCTCTCCTCTTCCTCCTATCACTCCTATCACTCAGATGGCTTCTGCCTCTGTCTCCTTCTTCACCCTTAGTCCTTACTCTACCTGCACAATTGATCCCATTCTATCTTCTCTCCTCCAACAGATTGGCCCCTCTCCCATAAGTTTTCAGGACATCACTTTCTCCTGGTTCTCCTCCTCCCTCTCTGACGGCTCCTTCTCTGCCTCCTTTTCTGGACCCTCCTCCAGATCACACCCTCTGACCCCCTTCTCCTCTCCCTCTAGACGACTTTACTTGGTGATCTCATTAGTTACCTTGGATTTAATGACCATCCCTGTTGATGATTCTCACATCTACCTTTCCTACCTAAACTCTCTGCTGACCTCCAGTCTCACATCTCCAACTGCCTTTCAGACAGCTCAGACTGGATGTCCAGTAGGTGTTTTAAACTCAGCGTGTTCAAAACTGAACTCATCTTTCCCCCTAAACCAGGGGTGGGAAATCTGTGGCTTCCAGGCCACATGAGGCCCTCGAGGTCCTCAAGTGCGGCCCTCTGACTAAATCCAAACCTCACAGAATAAATCCCCTCTAGGTCCTCAAGTGCGGCCCTCTGACAGAATCCAAACTTCACAGAACAAATCTTTGCTCTCTAGGTCCTCAAGTGAGGCCCTCTGACAGAATCCAAATTTCCCAGAACGAATCCCCTTAATAAAAGGATTTGTTCTGTAAAACTTGGACTCAGTCAAAGGGCACCCAAGGACCTAGAAGGCCACATGTGGCCTCGAGGTCACAGGTTCTCCATCCCTGCCTAACCCCCCCCCCCCAAACTTCTCTATTGCTATAGAGGGCACCACTCCTGGTCCGTCAGGCTCCCAACCTAGATGTCATCCTGGATTCCTCATTCTCTCTCACCCTCCCATATCCAATCTGTTTCCAAGGCCTTTCAATGTCACCTCTGCACCCCTGCTCTCCTCTGACACTGCTCCCACCCTGGTGCAAACCCTCATCACCTCCCTTCTGGCCTATTGCAGCAGCTGCTGCTGGCTCTGCCCGCCTCAATTCTCCTCCCACTCCAGTCCATCCTCCAGCCACCAAAGTAATTGAAAGTGATTTTCCTAAAGCCCAAGTCCAATCATGTCACCTCCCCCTTCCCCCTTAGTCAATCAACTCAGAGGCTCCTTATCACCTCCAGAATCAAATACAAAATCCTTTGTTTGGCATTCAAAGCTCTTTATAATCTAGT